AAAACCGAGGAGGCACTCCAGAGTTGAGGAGGTGACAGAAACGCGTTCTGAACATGGTTGACACGTCCAAACTTAAAAAAGTTTGTCTTGTATACAATTTGTGATTATATTTTAAATTAAATTGGTATTATCTGTAACCAACATCTTCTCTGGCGTGTATTTCAAGGCTGTAGATACGGGAAGAATCGGGTCCTAGGTCCCTTGGGTCCGTTGTATTCCGGAAACAAGTGCCACAATTGGCTCATGGGGAATGGAAGGGAGAGGGCTCCAGTAGGACTATCTTCTTTCTTGAAAGATGGTGGTTCTTGACAGTCTAACAGTGGACCCTACCCTTGGCATACGACTCAAAACGCATGCAAATTACTCGCTACATATCTACTTCAGTGAAATTTGCCTTCTCTCTTACATTACCATTCATACCGTAGTATTTTTTACTTTTTATTTTAAACAAGGGTTAATCTACTGGTAGAGGGAAATTTAATAGGGATAATTAATCTGTCAGCACAGGCCCCACACATACACCCTTAATTCTGGTGTTTGGAGCCTGTTTTATCAAACCTTGCTATTGAACAGTCACCTGTTAGGTTCCTCAATAAAGGTGTTTTAGGAATGAAATAAATCCCTTCTGTTGCTCCTCACGGTCGAGCATTTTGTAAAGAGAGCAATGGTTAAACATGGGGGGATAGGATACCCAGGTTGCTAGCCCTTATCGGTAGAAAATAACAGAGACCTAATAAAACAAGTAATCAAATAATAACGGCTGTACTAAATCCCTGTGCACCCTCCCACAACACATGTCCCTAATACCTAACCTGACCTAATTCACAGTCCTAAATATACGAGAAACCTTTTTAATTCTACTTTTATTTGGAACGCACCCAATCTCCTGCTTTTTTCAGTCCACTGATTAGCCCTTCCATGCTTTTTGTTTGAAACTCACATTTTTTAAATGTTTGCTATCTAAACGCCGTAATTCTTATTATTGTTTCAATATGTTTAAAAAAGATTACCTGCCTTTGGTGTTCGCTGTTTAATCCAGTTCATCAGTTATCTCTTCAACCACACCGAAAACCCACATTCTACAATTTGAAAGTTAAATTGATTTCATATTTAATGAGGCAAACACGATGTCACAAGAACTGATACAATTGCTAAAAATCATTTATACAATGGGTAAGACCAAACATCTGGAGGAGTTTGAGGGAAACGAGAGGATATACTGGAATCTGATTAAACAGCGACACAAAGGCAATTATTCGGTTTATATTTTCTAACAACTATCTATGAAACAAATAAAGATAGGCTATAGCAAAACATTTGTTAAATTTATATAAAAGTATTTCAAAAAACAAAAGCCAATTATTTGAAAAGTGGGGCTAACCCAGTAGGGGTAAAATCTGGTGAAAAAAAGCCGAATTCGATCTTGGTGTGTACGATTTGTCATACAAAGAATTAGATATAATATTCTGGAATTAGACTGTGATAGGTCAGTAGGTTATTAGACAATGTGGTATGTGGGGGGTGGCAAGGGATTTTAGTACAGCCGTATTATTTGATTATTGTTTTATTCTTATCTCTGTTAATTTTCTTTAATTAAGCGCATATTTACCTGAATCCAATTTACACAGTATTAATGCTATGGTCATTTGTACCACAAACACAGAATTATACCAGATTTATTTAGATTTTAAAGTCTAAATTTAGGAATCTTTCCCATCATCAGTCAAAACTGCAATTTTACATACTATTTTTTCGCAAAGGATGCTCTCTAGATGACCTGGTTCAATAGCAAAGGTGATAAAACATGTGCTCTCCACTGACCATACACTCTTACAAGAAGTTAAGAGGGTGAGGTATTATGTAGGTGGGCTTCGTTTTGTTGACAGAAAATTATCAAATTATTCTTATGCCCCTATACTTGTAAGGGACAGGTATGGTCCCGGATCTGGCTAAATTTCAGGGGCTATGATTTACATGGCTTACCTGTTTGCAATTGGTGAAGAATGGAATAATATATATGTCTACTAGGGATGTAGAGTAGGATATGTAAAGGCAATGTGCTACATGAGAAGGGATGGTACATAGATTGCAAATATAGCCCTGGACGGGACGTTAAATATTGAAGTAAGAGCAAGAGAATTGTAACTGGTTCACTGTTTTGAAACTTCGTCCAAGACACATTCCTTATACTCCAAGAAAAAGAGCTTCGCTTATTATCTTGGGGTGGGAAACACAACTTGTTGTGGGGTTCTGGGGTAAATCATTTTTTTACAAAAGATAGGTGAGGCATTGGTTGGAAGAACACAAAATAGCCATTGTATTTCTTGTATTGGTGTCCCTCCGGGGAATTACCTTTTGGTTTTATTTGTGAGTCTCTTCCTGGCCGGCTATTACAACAGCCCATAATATAGACATGTCATCCTTAATCCTCTGAACTCTGCCAATCAGGGCCACTAAATAAAAATGACTTTTTGATATATTTTCTGATTGGAAAATTCAGAACTTGATCAAACTCTCTATTACCTGCTCATCATTTAAGAGTCATCCGATGGAGGGGTCTGGCAGTTCAGCCTAAAAGAGGGCAAATGGGCCTTGTGTGCCGGGCACCTTTAACCACTGGCCTTGGCTGGCATTGTTATATCAGTTTGGTAACAGCTTAAACCTCTTTACTAGACCTTCCTTGTTTTCCACTTTCAACGTTTTCACACACACCACCAATCCGCCAGTCTACTCCTTCCTTTATCCCTTGACATTCATTTGTCTCCTGGCTCTAGGAGGCGGATGGTCCGGGATATATGCCTGCTGTTTAACAGGACAAGAGAAAAATACCTTGCTTTCTCTGCCATCAGCGATCCAAATTGGCAGGTAGTCCGAGTGGGGGGTAAAGTCTAGTCAATTTATCAGTTAGAATAGTGAACTAGGGTACTTATGTGCTCATATATACAACCCACAGTCTTTCCAGATGGTTCTTTGGGCCTTTCTAGCGGGAATGTTGGATGTTATAAGGTGTCTCGCCTATGGATCTGGTGTGTGAATGGGTTGGATTGACGATTTGGCGTTGGATATTGACTGGAGGCGCCGCGGGTGGTATCATAAGGAAACAAGGTCCTTCAGTCACCTTAGGTTGCATCGTTGCCAAGGGTGGCTTATCCCACAAACCTCCTTGGGTCCACTGGAGATTATTGCTTTGCTTTTGACGAATTTTCCCAGGATGTTCTGGAAACCGCGTGTTAAATCCTTTCACAAGTCTCGGACTGAGGCGGAGGGAAATAGGGACACCGCCCAGAATCTCTTCTCGGAGCCATAGGACCACCAGTTTTCGAGAAACAATGGTCGCTCAGGACATCTTTTGTAGCTCTTCTCTGCCCTGCTTTCCTAACTGGAGTGAGATTCTGTTGTTTTTTAAAAATAGGGTTTATATATGGAATCTACATCTCTCTCGTTCATTCTTATTCAGTATGAGATGGTAATTGGTTGAATAGAAAATGGCCCTCTTGACTGGGTATTGCATTTGTAAACATATTGGTATATCAATAGGAGAGCGGGTAATATGAGAGCACACAATGTGTTACTCTGCTGAGACAATTACACTATCTACAGTTTAATAGTGATAGAGTTGAAAAGCCTTGGTGAGCTTGGTTTCAATGCTACTGGTTTTAAAAAGATGACGCTCGGCTTGTTTATATTCGGGGTAGAGGCACAAAGCCTTTGTCGTTAGGTGGCAAGATCCTCTTTCAGTTCAGATTGTTTTTGTCAGAAATACAGTTACCCCGAGGCTGGGTTGGACCGGGCTTTCCAAGCACAGGTGAGGGTACGCAGGAGACAGGCAGAGAAAATGTTTGAGAATCCATTGTCACTGTAGCAGCGTATAGTAAGAAAAGAAAAAATGAGACATAATAAGATTTGAATGTACGATACGATGTCCAATACAAGGGGTTTATCATATATAGTATATATATAATA